AACTATAAAACACTGGAAAAACAATGTGAAGAAGACAAAAATAAACAGAAATACTTCCCATGTTCATGTATTAGAAGAATTAATTTTGTTAAAGATCTATACTATCCAGACAAACTACAAACTGAATGCAATCCTATTAAAATATCAGTAATATTTTTTTCACACATCTACTACCGTACTCTAAAATTTGTATGGAATCACACTGGGCCATGTGTAGCCAAAGCAATCTTGAAAAAAAGCCCAAACCATACTACAAACCCATAGAAACCTGAAACAGCATGGTACTGGCATAAAAGCAGATACATACACCAATGAGACAAAAAAGGGAGCTCAGAAATAAATCCACACATCTACACTCAACTAACTTGTGACAAAATGTGCCAAAAATACACAATGGAAAAGGACAATTATCAATAAATAATACTGAAAAAAACTGAACATGCACTTGCCCAAGATGAAAATTTAGTTCTTATATTATACCATATATAACATTCAACCCAAAATTAACTAAATACTTAAATATAAGACATTGAACTATAAATCTAATGGAAGCAAATATAGAGGAAGGGATTCAGTCAACAGAGAAAAAGGATAAACAACAGAAAGGAAAATAATATCTGAAAACTTACATCTAATTGAAGTGATACTATTCAAAATAATGGAGGAACTCAAATAGCTTATATAAACCAATTAAGATATGAACAAGAACCTAAATAATCTTTTCTCAAAAGAAGATATACAGTTGGCCAACAGGTATGTTAGAAAATTCTGGATATCTTAATCATCAGGGAAATGCATTTTCAGACCACAATGAGCACCTCACCCCAGTTATATCTGTGCCCAAAAGACAAAAAAATAACAAGTGTTGGTGAAGATATGAAGGAAAGGGAATATTTGCACATTGTGGGTGGGAATGTGACTTACCAGCTTTATGGAAAGTAGTTTAGAGTTTCCTTAATAAATAAAAAGGAGAAGTGCCATATGATCACAGATTTTCTCTTCTGAGTATATACCCAAAGGAAATAAAATCTCTATGCTGAGGACACATCTAAACTCTCACATTTGTTCCATTACTATTCTTCAGAGCAAAGATATGGAATCAACTGAGGTGTCCGAGAACTGCTGAATGGATGAAGTGCATGTAGTACATCAACATAGTGGGACATTCTTCAATAATCAAACAGAAACTCATTGTCATTTTCAACAATAAGGATGAACTTGGAGGATGACATGCTAAGTGAGATGAAACAGGAACAGAAAGATAATTCTGCATCAGCTCACATGTAAAATTTAAAAAGATGAATCTCACAAAGTAAAATATAGAATGGTGGGTTCCAGGGTAGGTAGGCTGGTGGGTGTTGTGGAAAAACAGGTGAAAGGATACAAATTTATAGTCAGATAAGGAAAATAAATTCATATTTATTGTACAGCTTGGTAACTATAGTAAATTCCAATTTGTTGTATTCTTGAAAAATGCCAAATGTGGATGTTAAAGGTTCTCATCACAGAAATGACAACTGTGTGAATTAAGCCCACTTAGTTAAGTTGATTTAACCATCCCACAATGGATAGATTTCAGTGTATCATGTTGTACATGA